TTAACATTGACATTTGGAAACAAAGTCGTAAGAATACGACGTATCCTACTTTGAAATAATTAGTCCTAGCACCGCAGAGACTAGCTCCAAAAAAGAAAAAAAATCTATAAAGCCTTTATTATTTTAATTTTTTTTTTCTTTATGAGAAAAAACTTTTCTTCCGGTTCAAAATATAATAATTTAATAAATTTCTTCAAACATTGTTTATATATATCACCCGCAATTTCGTTTAGTATGTCGGTCGCAGTCCATCGAATAACCAGGATGATGTCAAAATCGTTATCTTTTAATCGTTTACATCAATTTGAAGATAAAATAATTAACGCACAGAATGAAATTAACCAAATCAACTGAATACAATCAATGATCTGTAATATTGACCCCGTCTTGGATTAAAAACTCGCATGCCATAATGGTTTTGTGCAATAGTGCAACATCCTGCAACAAAAACCAACTGCTTTGCTCGCAATTCCGGTCGAATTCGTATTATTCTGGCTTATAACAATTTCATTACTCCTATATAATATTCCGTACATTTACTTTCTTTGAGACTTTCTTAATCTATTTTTGCAATGCTGAACTCTTCATATATGAATCAATGCATTCTATTTTATTATTTTCCTAGATATGTAAGACCTTTTTAACGATTTCATCTTTTCAATGCACTAATAAAGCAATATATAAGGCTATACGGAAGTTAATTTTTGAAAATATTTAATTGAATTATATGCTGTTCAATCTGGTCCAATACTTTGTCATGTCAGGCACGAGTTCTAAGCTTGGTACTTGCAGTCCAAACACGTTATATACGGATTATATAGTCCAAACTATTTAAATAGTTCAAAAATTTTCTTAGATCACTGATGATGAGTACTTGTCAATACTCGAAACAGTGTTATATGGTTAGCCAAATTTCAATAAATTAACTAAAATTTTTATTGTTGTCTTCTCATTTTTATTCGAACCCTTTTTTTAAATAGTCATAAGACACGTCACTTTCGGCAAAAAAAAATTAATATTAAAATATTTGTTCTTTGATCGCAAAAGACTGATTCTGGAGAATTTTTTGAAGGTTTTACCAACTGAAATATTTCGTGGAAACTGAAATAAATAATAATCACAAAGTGAAGGACCTAGAGGATATGTTGGGTGTGCCAGTATATTCCTTTTTCGCATTCATGGTGGAAGATAGCATGATCTTGATGGAACTCTATATATTTTCTACTGATAAATTTTGTTTTTTTTTGTTTAAATGACTTTTATTTGTTCAGCTGATAGCAGCACATTTTAGAATTAAACAATATTTTGTGTGGTAATCGTCATTGTCAGTAAATAGTCTTACAGTTCGATAAAAGCCTTAGCTGCACCATATATCATGACGGATTGCTTAAACCTCACCATAGTCGCTGCGTTTGTTGCTATTTGCTTTCTCTTTTGTACTTGCACGCTCCGTATGTCTTCCATTTCATAGCTGGATTAACTTTACTTAGACTTCCATTAAACCCTTGTATGGTATTTGCTTCTTCCCAAAACGGCTATATTGTTCGCATATAACATTGTGGCACTTCTTTTATTGATCATATTATTGATCAGTTATTGTAATATTTTAATGACATAGTGCAAAAAGAGATTGAAAATGATTGCGGACAATATATGTTATCACCATGTTTAATATCGCTTGTAGTTTCGATTATATTAGATGTTAATTTTTCGAAATAGTCCCTGAATTATATGAAGGCTATATTCAGCCTAGCTGAAATATATGTTTTTAGATGTTTTAGTGAAGTTTTACTAAATTCTCTAACTATCGTTTAGATAGTTATTCTATAAAATAATAAAAAATGTTATCAGTTTTGTTATTCGTTAATTTGATGACTCGAGCATTTCACAAAAACTAATTACACTGAAAACCCTTCAGTTTGGTCCAAATACAGTACTAATACTTTGTTTAAAAAATTCTTAATTTTCAAAAAAAATTTGTGAATTTTGTATAACAAATACTATTTACTATATCAGATAAACTCAGTCCGGTCAATATACTCATGCCATACATGGACGAAGTTGTCACATCGCAGCTTTGTTTCTCATTTCACCTGTACATCTGGTTTGGACTTCATTTAGGCGTATACGAATTAATAACTAAATAAATATTTTCGAAAGCTAATATTTTTATAAAAACTTTATATTGTATATTTGAAGGTCGTCGGGTGTTTGCTAACCAAGGGGAGAAAACCTTCAGTGCAAGTTCAAAGTTACTTTGTATAAAGTTTATTATAACAGATTTTCGTCTGGAGACTTCTTACTACTTTTGTTTATTGCTCTACTGGTTGACTTAATTGATTTCAGTTGACTCTCACTATTTTTTATATTTTAATTTAAATAAAATTTAAAGAATTTTGAAATGCATAAAATTTTATAAAAATGTTTTTAATTAGTATTTTTATTAAATAATTTTTTTATTACTTTGTATTTACATGAGCATACATTCTATTAAATAAAACTGTGCTTACGTGGTCTCTCTTTGGAGCGGCTTATTATATTAAATCTAATGACCAAACCAGACCAGAGACACAGTTGCTTTGGCATTTTTTATGCGAAAGAATTGGTTACGTACCTATACACCTATATATGAAAACAGCAGTAAAATATAAGAAATCCAATTAACATGTGGACTTAATTACCTTCATGTCCTTTTTTGATAAAAGAGTGAGGCAGAAGAAAAGGATGAAGTTTGAACACAAACTGATAAGTGCATATTCTACCCGATTTTTCGTAGGGTTTCATATTGAGTTTGTTTCCTGAAAAGACATTATTGAACACAGATTATAAAAAATTAGTGATCAAAAGTTAATTTTGTTACCAATTCCTAGGTAATTTGACAGGATTAGTAGTTAATAATTGTTGTATTAAACTGTATAGGAAGTGGATTTCTCATTTAAGTAGGGTGACCTGTTGCATCTACACCCCTAAGTCTAGTGAAACAGTTGAATAAAAATTATGGTAGTCTATTTAGTTCCTGTAGTAAAAACTATACGAAAGTGAATAAAAATCATTTAATAAGTAACTTTATTCCAGAAGAACTCATATGTGGTGAGTGCTGACTTTCCGTATTTTAATTTTACCTTAGTTTTAACTAAGAGTTGCAAATACTGAGTAGTGTTACTTGTATTCGAAGGCAACTGTGGATGTAAGCCATAAAGTTTAGGTTACAAAGGAATTAAATACATGAAGTGTCAAAAAAAAAAAAAAAATTAGACGCGTTGACATATAAAACAAGAAAATATGTAATAAAAATAAAAATGAACGGTAGTCCTAAAGGACTAAAGTACAATATGTGGTTTTAGAAATATCTAAACAACAAACAAGTTGCCTGTAAAAATGAATTTTATTAATTAATTATGACTATATTCCGGTTAGTTTAAATGCAGATAGCAGTCTCAATTTTTATTAAATAAATGGGTTAGGTGGTGATGACAAGGTATGTAGTCAGACAGACGATTCATAAGATATGAAATGTCTTTGTAATAACGCCATTTTCGATCGGTTGATCTGGAGTAACTTTTTCAATCAAGATTAACTTTAAGTGCAATTTTTATTTTCGTGCTTAGTAAATCTTTAATGAACACCAGAGATTAATTTATAACACTCATCTTTGACTTGACATATAAAAAATGATTTGATACGACATATGTATTCGACAAAGTGTCTCTCTCTCAATATGGCAGACATTTACATAGACGGCTTCAAAATTAAGGAGTCGGTTATGGTATATAACGAACTGGGTCTTAGCTTTTTACTTTGACTACCAAACCAGTGCAGTAGCTTTCACGCACAATTAATGGCAATCCATTATGCACTAAACTGAGTCCATGATAATTAAATTCCTGATGAAACAATTTTAAACTTCTTGGACAGTTAAGCTTTCATTTAAACACTGTTAGGCAAATCTATTATGACTTGAAACAGCCGCGCTCAATGACTTAGCTAGGCATGTTAAGTTCCAACTCATATGGGTTCTTGGACATACAATCTATAAGGATATGTTGAACAATTGTAGAGCGGAGGAGTTTGCCACGGCAGACACTCTTTTCACTGAAATTCACTTCTCAGAAATTTGCATCACTATTTCCACAGTTAAACTGGTAATTAAACAGAAACATCTAAGCATAGCCTGGGCTGACTAATACTGCTGTCAGATCTCTAGGTTCATCTGGTCTAAATTGGACAAAAGATGTGGTTCCTTCAACTAAGGGGGACCCTGCTCAGTATTGTGGTACCGGTACTTACGGGCCACTCTATAATAGAGAGGCATGTTATGAGAGTGAGTCTACCTCATAATGACTTTTGTCGTGGCTATGATTCTGAAGATTAGTAAGAAACCGTGCTCTATCTCATGTGTTAGTGCACATCTTTAGCTAGGAGAAGATCTAAAATCTTCGGGCTCCTTTTCTTTTCTTGGACAATTCTATATAAGTAGTAATGGTTCTCGTCTATGAGTAGATTTCAAAAAAAAATTTGGAGAGAGAGAGAGAGAGAGAGAGAGAAGAAGTGAGAGAGAGAGAAGAAGAGAAAGAGAGAGAGAGAGAGCGAGACTTATGATCTTGAATTATTGATATAAAGTTTTTCGCAGATAATGGATAGCATCAACAAATATTAGAGTGTTGATATGCATAAGATAGTGCTTCGCCTTTAAATGACAAATTAATAATAGCTGTAAAGACGGACATATTTGAAATTATAAATTAATTAAAAAAAAAAGTTTGAAATAAAATTAAATGGCGTTCTGAAAAGTTTGTACTTTAATTGAGTTATACGGTAAAGATGTATATTTTTGTAGAATGTCGTTAAACAATTTCAAGGAATGCCTAAGGTTTTGAATAATATTAACCTACTTAAAAAAACAAAAATTCTAAAATGTTTTAGTAAGATTTGCATTTTTGATCATATTAAATTTTATATAAGTAAAAAAAAATATAATATTGTTTCGTTATATAAAAAATATAATTGTTGGAAAATATTAGGACTTTAAAATCAAAAATTTTAGTGAACATAATGAGTTTTGGACATGATATATTATTTGGAAAGAATGCTGTAAGAAATCCCAAAATTATCCCAATAAAGGTCAGATAAAATCAAACAATAAACAATTTTTTAATTGAATTTAAAAATAATTTTAGATCGGATTGATGGGTATTGATTTAATCAATGAAATGGATTTTCGGAGACGCATTTTTATGAACACACCATATGGTAACCCAAGCGACGTTATTTTTGATGGTGAAATCGAAAATATACCGTGTATTCTCATGCCGCATCTTAGTCGCTTGACCGTATTGGCGCCCTATAAAAATTCTCATGCCGATATATGGGCTTTTAATAATTTGGGAGTAACACATATAATTGCGTCATACCCCTGCAGTTCATTACAGGAAACAATGTATCCTGGTGATGTTATATCGCCTGATAATGTCATTAATAACACTGCATGGGCAAATAGAATTGATTTTAATGGTGTACAAAGCTTTAGGTGTCATATGCCAATGTCGCCACCGTTTAACGATTATTTACGCAACGTTATTATTGATGCAGGAGCACAAGTAAATATACCAGTTATAAATTATGGAACTGTTTTGGCAATTCAAGGACCGAGATGGCCAACAACGGCGGAATGTAGCATTTACCGCACATGGAAAGCAGATCTACTTACTACAACTAAATTAGTTCCTGAAGCAACACTTTCGCTTCATGCAGGCATTTTGTTTGCGCCCCTTGCAGTTGTTACAAATTATGCTAAATGGGGCGAAGTGAATGGTAACAAAATTCTGGACATATACGACAACTTTCTACCAAATGTTGTTAAAGTAGCGTTGAGAACAATAAAAATCATTTCAGATGTCAGCTGGGCAGACGAAATCACAAAGAATAGGGTTGGTTGCCATTCAATTTATTTTTTTTTTTATTAAAATTCACTATAATTTTTTATTTAAGAATCGTGCAAGTATTGTTGTGGGATCCGATTTCCAATTCACTTTTGAAGAATTCGCTATACCAAAACGTAAGATATAAATCAAAGCCCGAAGAACATTTCAAAGCAATAAACAAATTCTGTTCACTAGTATGTAAAATTAAAAGATAATAGCAAAACTTTTCACTTTTTAATATTACTTCAAAACTACCGACAGTGTACTTTCTAGACGTTCGCCACAAATTAGACTTATAATGATTTGCTTTATATTGCATTATAAAAACGAAGGTTTCCGATATTCCGATCAGCAAAGTCTAAAATCACAAAACTTGGATTATCTAAAATCAATTTATAGGCCAAACAGACCAGCTTTGCTAGTTAAGTTTTCATAGTGGAGAACTATTACCATGTGGTCCAGGTGCCCGCAAGTATGGGAGTGTCATGGTGGCACTAATTAAACTTTAAAGATACGCAGGTAAAGTGTTAGTATTCTTGCATTTACTCAATGTAGAGTTGTATATTTCAATCGGGTGATGTTACCCTAAGAATAGTGTAGATTCATTCCCAAACTTATAACTTCAATTGACATTGGCGGAATTTAATACTAATGGGGTATTTAACGTCAAATTATTGTGATAACGAACATTTTAACGAAGGCAATCATTGATGCTTTGTTTTGATATATCTGCTCAGATTGATATGTTCAGAGTGAGTTGTAAAGCCAGTCCATTTATTATTATACTATATATGTTTAAAATATCGTAGTGCTAAGCCTTTATGGCATGTAACTAGGTACAATAATTCTAGACTCTGTTGAAGTAAAAATAGAAAACTATTAAAAGAAGTAATTATTTCAAAGTATTCGAAGTGGTAACGGTTATATAAGTCCGTCAGATTAAAGATGAAACCCGACTTTAAATGTTTCCGATCCAATATTTTTAATAAAGGTTTGAATATTTCAAATAAATCTATCTATAGCACATTACCATAGAGGGTTTCTCAGAGTATGTGTGTGTGTATTTAATGTAAGCAGTCCAGCTATCTCTCATTGTAGAGTTGCATATTTTAACCGGGTGCTGTGATCCAAAGAAAGGTGAAGGTGCTTATTGGCTTCCACGCAGTTAGAATGATTTCTAGTTCTGACCTTAATCGACGCATTGTCTTGCTTTTAAGTCTTCATAAGGTTTCAATGGAGGCATTTAATTACACATTAACTTGATATATATCTACAACAACTCGAGAAAAAAATTGAAGATTGTAAAAAGAAGTAAGAAAAATTTTAAATTGGTGGTAATTGCAACGATCGTAGATGTTTACCAGTTGACATAGAAGTCTTCTTTGATCGTTTCAAACACAATATTTTTGATGAAAATTTCAATATTTCGGGTATATATATAACTATAACATGTTACCATAGGGAGAGCGAAAGAGTTTGCCAAGACAGGGGCTCTTTTAACTGATATTCACTTTTCAGTAATAGGCGTTCCTCTTGCAATAGTTAAAGGGGTGTTTAAACAAAAATATCTCAGCATAGCCAACTTAAACTAGGCAAACAAGTCCTGCTGTCCGACCTCTAAGTTGACTCGGACTAAATTGGACAAAAAACGTATTAGTCAGCTACTTCAATTAGGGTGGAACTTGTTTAATATTATGGTACCGTTGCTGACGGGCCACTAAATAATATATAAACATGCTAATTGAGTAAATCTACCCTATAATGTCTTTTATCATAGTCGCAATTCTGAGAATGGGGAGGAAGCTTTGCCCCATTTTATGTATAAGTGCACATTTTAAGCTGAGATAACATCTAAAATCTCTGAAACATCTTTCCTTACCGAATTGACCGAGTTGTCATCTTGTAAAACTAAACACTGGGTCAAGTTCATAGAATATTCAGGTTGGTAAAATCTTCATCTATGCTGACTTTTTAGTTTATGCATCAACAGATGCTATTCTTGTGGTACCACACCGGGCCATTATTTGAGCTCATGTGGACTTTTTCTGGATGTAAGGCCGCCACTCTAATTCAACCTAATCTGGTCGGTTAGGTACATGTATATTAATGCAAAATTTTTCGATTATTTATGATGTATATAATCAGTTTAATTATGTGTTGTTATACATCGCTTTAAGGAGCTTATTTATATCAAGTGCTACTTAAAATTATTTATAATGTGATGATAATATGTATATCGTTTCGTCGCTTTCTATAAATATTTATATTTTTAAAATTCTTTAAAATATTGTCTTTCTTTTTTCTGGCAACCTTAATGGCAAACAAAAAAAATCAAAAAAACAATCAAAAAAAAAAAAAATATGTGTGGAATAAAAAGTTAAAACAACAACAGGGAAAACTCATAAATATTGCCACTTTTTTCCTAATTAAACTCTTCAATATGAAACTTCTTTGAAGTGTGCGGTAGTTGCGCATGTGTTTGTTTGTGTAATTCTGTGTTCATGTGTCTCTGTAGTTAAAACCAATACAATCATAAATAAAAATGTTTAATTTCCCGCTTACGGAAATGACAATTTATTGCTCACATTTTACCACAACCAATTGGCTTGTGTTGTTGTCTTTTGTTTTTTTCCTTTTTTTGCTTTTTTCTTTTTTTTTTTTTGTATATATAGTAGTTGGTGTTGTTGTTGTTATTATTATTGCTGATGCTGCTGCTGTTGTTGTTGTTGTTGTTGTTGTTGTTGAGTTCGCAAGGAATTTCGGAAATTCATTGCGGTTGTGACACTCAATCGTAGAACAAACAAGCAAACAAACGCACGAAACTCAAACATACGCACACACACACACACACTTATAAACACGCACACACTCGCACGCATACATATGCAAACCTTTGTGCACAAAAAACACACATATACACAAATAAAATATTGTAAATATTGGTTAAAAATTGCAATAAACAGTTGCAATGCGCTTCCAACTGGGCATGCAAAAACATTGGTCAAGCTAACAAGAAAAACAACAACAACAACAACAACAACTACAATAATCTCAACAACAACAATTCCAACAACTACAGCACAAAAACCGTATCAAGCGAAATTTTTTTTTAAATCTGTTAAGATATACGACCAAGGTCCTGCAAAGGATTTACGTTATATTTACATACATTTGCAAATGCTAGCTGGGGTCCGTGCATCCGTGGGTGTGCGTCCATGTGTGTGCACCTATATATGTGTGCAGCATTTATTTTTATTCAATATAAATGATTTTATTTCGGTTCCAACAACTTCAGCCAAAAAGATCAAAGAGATTTTTATTAAAACTTTAAGGTTATTTAATTTTTAATTTTTCATTTAACATTGCTTGAATATTTATTTTATGAAATTGCGGCTTTTCTGGTTAATATAACAGAAGCACTTCATTTTTGTTATACAATAATTCTGTGGTTGTATCCAGTGATATTAAAGAAAAAAATTTGCATTAAACAATTTTTATAAAATTTCAAATGTAAATTATATCCTTTAATTTGGGCTATTTTAAAATCAAAAAATATGAAATTCTTTCCACATCTTTATTTTTTTTCACTTAGAAACCAAAAAATTATATTGACATTAACGCATGACGAAGGACCTAGCACTCCAGTTCCTTATTCTACCTTCTGCGCAAAAAGTACTCGGATTTTGTAAATAAAACACACAAATTTAAATTTTATTCCAAATTTATTTTATCTCCTTCAAAATATGCTCCTTCTGAAGCGATATACATATGCCAACGCTTAACCCAATCTTCCATACACTTTTCGTAGACTCGTGCAGGTATGGCTTTTAGTTCGTTCGGCGAATTCTCTTTTACCGATTCAATCGACACAAAACGCTTACCACGAAGAGGCAATTTGAGTTTCGGAAACAGGAAAAAGTCGCACGGATCCAGATCTGGCGAATATGGTGCCTGAGCGATGACAGTGCTGCCGTGTTTGGTCAAAAAATCGCTTACAATAAGAATTTTCTATAGTAAAACCCGCTAAATGCACTTGAAGTAGTCTCACATTAATAGCTGCTGTAAACAAACTAATTGACAGATGGCGCTCAAATTTGTACCATATGTCAAGAAAGGGTGTACCAACATAACAAAAACAAAAATTTTGAAAAAGGTTTGTTACCTAAGAAGTAGTTAACAAACAATAAAATTCGGATACTTTTTGAGCAGAAGGTAAGTTAATTTTAAAACTAATTTTTAAGATAATTAAATGTAACAAACTTCATCTGGAAAAATTATTTTTTTTCCATACAACTGAGGTCCACCCTAATTTATATCTTTGTTGTTAAGTGGATGACCATTAAGGTTTTCAAGAAATGCAATATTCATAAATCAATGGTAGACGTGAGAGAATGAATGGTGCTATCAAAACTTCTAGTAATGCCAATAATTTGGCAAAATATTTTAAACTCTTTTCAGAAATGATAATATGTAAAATAAACACAGTCATAAACTAAAGTTAGGTTAGAGTGACGACTCGTTGTTATATTACAAATTTGAATAAATTATACGCAGACTAGCGGAAAGCGTATAAATGACACTGGAAAGCGATTCTCCCATTGAAATAAAATTGAACTAACCTGACAAATCTATAAAGCTGGCTAATTCCCAAATTTCGCAGGATGACAGCTCTGTCAAGTTCGTAAGAAAAGAGGCTTCAAGTTTATTTAAATTTACTTATTTACTTAAGTTTTGCAGAGCAACAAACTCGACAAAAGATATTATAGAGAAAACGTCGTCTAATAGTAGTCTTCCTAGTAAGTAATGACATATAAGCTCATACATACCTTAATGCTGTAGCGTTTACCGGGGACTGAGAACAGCATGGTTGTCAAAGAAAATTTACGATATTTAAATTGGGGATCTTGTTGCCTAGGATGGAATGGTTCGTTAGTCAAAATACGATGCTTAGACGCAGTTTATTGCAAAATATACCACTGCTGAGTCTTTTATATATTTTAGACAGTTAGTGTAAATGTTTACTGTGCTAACAGAAATCACTTTAGTTAGAGTCCAGTATTCTAAATTGATGTGTGTGTTGGAGTAAACACAGTCAAAAGAAAAATGTTTGTAGTTACTGATAATAAACTCATACGATTTCAGTCTTCTACTATAGTAATAACCGACAGTTCTGGCTAAACATGTCAAATAAAAAAAAAAATTGCATTAGATTAAAAATAAAAT